AATATAATGGAAAAGTTACAGGCTTCAAATCTAACTTGATTATTGACTTGTAGGTAAAAGGCATTTCTATGGGGAGAAATTTCAACAGATTTTAGGACCATTGATTACTTTTGATTCATAATTAGATTTAGAGCACAGGTTCAAGATCACAAGCTGACTCTTGGACACTAAGCTGTTTTATATTTTCTGAAAACACTGTTTTAAAAGCATGTATAGTGTGAGAGTTATGTCCACTTGTAAAGAAAAGGATCAACCTTTCTTGTCGCCTCAGAGAGCCTTAGTGGCTAAGGCTGGTGAAAATCAGCCAGATTTAAACCCAAAATGCTGCAAAGCTTGTTGCTGCTCTGACACCTCATCTACAGAGGGCTTCATGACTGATTCTCATCTATATTCTGGAGCAATAAAAACACAGTTTTTCATTTCATACTCACTGTAGTTGTTCTTTATCCCTCAAATTCACCCTGTCTAGCCAACAAAGAGAATAGTTTTGTTTAATTTACCAGTACACCTAATAATTAATTGGAGTCATTCACTGTTGAATGAGCTATACATTTGCACTTCTCAATTTCTTTTTATTTTGCAAGATTGCTACAACAGATGTTAATGCTATCACTTTTTTTGGAGATTATTTAAGTGGCCAAGAGTGAACAGAGCTGTACTTCTTGCCTATTCAAATTCAGATGTTGGCCTGTAGCCCTAACTTTTTCCTTTGGATTTTATCAGGGCTTTTATAAAAAAAATAGGAGAATTGGAGCTTTAGTTTTTCCAGAGTTTGTTAACATCTTATTTTTATGGATTCAAACATGTTACGCTTGCATTTCAAGCCAGAGTTATAGTCTTACTTCTTGCAGGGGAAGACTTGACAGAAAAGCAGATGCAGTTGCATTACTGGTTTCATTGCTGATGTTAAATCAATGTATTGATATCTACTTGCTGCAGTTAAAATTGTTGAGAGGAAGCTAAAGTAAAAGCACAGGGCTAACTTGAGTCGGTTAAAACACACTGCTAAGGTTCTTCCTGACAATTTTGCTGAGTTACAAAGGCACAGCATTGTTTGTAAAGCTTCTAGCTTGTGCCTCCCATAAGGTACTGTTTCCTAACATTCTTTTTTTATTGAAATGTACTAAATTTATAAGTTGAGGTGGGATATTTTGGTTATTATATTTGTCCATCCAGTACTCCAGATTATAATAACCTGCTTTGTTTTACTGCAGCTTTAACAAAATCTATCTGACTGGACTGAGCTGTCCAAACCTAATCTCATGCAGATTTATTTTTTGAGACGTTTAGCCAAAATAGGTCATTTGTATCCAAGATCCGATTAAAAAAGAAACCACCAAAAAAAACCCCTTTAAAAAACCCCAAACCCCCAAAGAACAACCACAAACCCCAAACCTAGACTCCACAGAACTGAGGAAAAGCTACCTAAAGCTATGAATGGATTTGGCCTTTAGTTCTTCATTTGAAATCTGCACATATTTAGCAGAACAGTCCATCTGTGAAAAATTGCAGTGCATTTATGCTTAGTGGTGACAACTTCTGTGTTCAGCTGTTAAATTCCCCACGGGCTTCTTCTCCACAGAAATGGGAAAGTTTCTCCCCTAACCGCAGATTCCAGCAGAAGCAGGATGCACTGGGTCTGCTTAAGGGACAGGAGGGCAGTACTGCAGGGGGGCTGTTCCCCCTGCAAAAGGGGCCATAGGGCAAGAGTCTGGGGTGTGCTGGGGATGGACATGGGCTGGGATGGGATGGGAAATGCTATTTAAGTTAGAGTGTAACTGAAGCTGGGTAGGAGGTAGGAGTGGAACAGGGCTAGAAAAGGACTGGCTCATGTTGGGTGGGAAGGGACTGGGCAGTAGAGCCAAGAGGAAGAACTGAAGCAGTTTAGAGATGAGGGACTGCCCTATTGCCGATGTGCACGTGCATCTTGGGACACTTGGACACTGCCTTAGAAAGCTGGATTCTGCCTGGTTCATTCCTGTCAGGATTCTTAGGATGCCAGGCAAGGAAAGGATGCTGTGTCTCACACACCATCCCTCATTGGCTATTTTCATTATTCTGAATACACAGCTGAACAGTGAGGTTTGAGAGCATACAAAGAATTCACAAATGCTGCTGAAGTCTCTCAGATCTGAGCCTTGTAAATATAAGGATGTGATTATAAGAACAGAAGGAATCATTGACATCTTAAATTGATTGTCAATAAATACATTAATAATGAACTGTTCAGCAGCTAAAATCAACAAGATCAAAGCCCACAGCATGTTCCATGAGTAGCCACTTATCTGTAAGGTCATTATTAAATCGTGGGAGGCATAATTGCTCTATGATAATTTTAAGTTTGGCAAAATATACAAGATGCATACTGCATAAAATTTACATGGAATAAAATTTGTCTGAGTGTTAAGATGGGATGCTGGTTGGAGTAGATACTTTTTTGAATTCCTACTACTTGTTTTCTTGGTTTAATTTTGTTTTCATTGATTCCAGGAATAAAAAATTCCATTGCTTTTACACTGCCTTTGTGCAGGGTACAGTTAATACCAGGCAGCCAATGATGTCACTTGCGTAGGTGTAAATGAATTTGCATTAGGTTTACTTTACCTATCATGAGTAAAAATAATCCTGCAGGTGTTGTAACTGGACTTTGGTGCAGACTGGGAGTATGTTTTGTTCCCTATCAACTACAAAATCCACTCTGCTGCATCTCTGCAGCTGTTGCTATATGAACTGGTCCAATTAAAGCAGTGAATGTTTAACTTCAGGGTATATGGAAGTTAATTGGAAGTCTCTGAATGGTTTAAGAGCCTCACTCGAGGGGATGCTATTGATAGTTCACATGAGCATGATGGCACTGCTTGGTGCCTGAATGTCACGAGTTAAAAGTCAAAGGGCAAAATGCTGGTCTCCATTAAAGCCAGTGGAAGTCTTGCCATTGGCTTCAACAAACAGAGGATTTCTCCCTTAATTCTGTAACTTTGGTTAGGAGGAGAATTGTGTTGTACTTTAAATTCTTGTGGCTTTACCGAGAGTCTGTACTCCAAAAATTTTTAGATTTTTATTTAGTCTGATGGTGTTTTGTGGGAAACTAAATTGAAAGTGTATTTAAGGGCCCCAGGGACCTGCTCTGGTGAACTGCATCGGGAGAAGCTGAACATCTGCTTGATGCTCGGACACAGCTTTAGCAGAAATCCTAATCATTCAAAAGAAATTGCAGAAAATCTGTTTGCTTTTAAATTTCAAACCGCATAGCTCAAACTTTAAGTTTTAATGTCCTTACATACAAGTTTTTAAAAAAAGTAAAAAAAACTCAATACAAAATATTTACCACCAAGGCAGAAAATATATAAAAGAGGAAGGGAAAGAAATGCAGTTTTGCAGTTTTAGGGTGGTTTTACACAAAGGAAAATTCAAAACTGAATTCTGGAATATAACAAAAACGTGCATCATACTAACATGAAGGTGTTTTAACAGTGATTGTGTTGTCTTAACAAACACTTGGTTTACCAGTTCTATTTCACATGTGAAATAAAATGGACTTTATAGTAAATAGATCTTTTTAATTTCAATTAACATTTTTTAACTATAAGGAAATGTACAGAATTTGTGTGGAAATCCATGTACTATGTTTACTCAAATACAGAAAATACTTTGCTGCAAACTTTTAAATATAATAAAATGCATTTAATAGCAATCTTTTTTGGTTTCATCATTATTTATGAACATAACATTCAAAATATGGAAATTCAGTTGTGGATCAAAATGACCATAAAAACAGTAACCCAAAGAACCTTATAAACATGTCAACAGCCATCATTTATCCTAGATGGCTCTACCAATGTAAAAAACATATAAAATGTAGAATAATTCTTAACATATGGTTTACTTTGTTGCATTGTTCCTACATATTATGTGTGTTAAAATCCAGAAAATTGTATTATGAAGAGAATATTGATGTTTGTTTATTAAACTAAAGTACAGGTTAAAGTCATTCTTTTCTTGTGATGAACATATACCAACAGTGATTAAAAAATAAACATTTATTTACAAAATATTGATGCATACATATTACACAAGTCAGTATATATCAAAGTGGTTTTTAAACAATATCTGTAGCAACCAACTATTTGCATTGGTTTACCATAGTGCAAACGGTAATGTTGCAAGGCAGGTTAAAATGTGGGACTGCAATTTTAATGTTGGATTTCTCTGCTGCCTTCTGTTTTTTCTATGGCTAGAAAACTATTCCTTTTAATTTAAAAAATATCTATTTCTTGCGAATGTTGAATAGTGTACCTGAGGATAGGGCAAATTCATTATTAAGCCTAAATTCTTTCACTTATATAACTGTCTTTCTGTTTACTCTGCTTACGTAGCACCATTGCCATTGATTACTAACATACTAATGAGAAAAAGGAATGGAAACACGCTAAATACACTATGCCATCCCTAATTTCAGGGTTTGTCCATTTATGTGGAATTTCATCTGATACATTTCACAAGTATGCACTATATATTCAAGTGTTTAAGGATGAATCTGGTGGTATTGTGTAGTGGCGTATATGTTACCAGTATATATGTTCCTGTAAATATGATAATAAATGAAGCTGTGAAGAAAAGAACCTAAAAGCCTTCTGTCCTCAGGTGAGAAGGAGCTTGCCTTTGATTACCAATGTGTACTGAAATCTGCACATAAATTTGCATCCAAATGACTGAATATTGATTCCCTCATAATGTAAGAACTTGGTGGATTAAATCCGGTGATTTTGATTGTAGCTTTTCTCTTTTGCTGGCTTACGAGCAGCCATCAGGTAATTACATTGTCCCTTAGTTCACGTTCTGTAGCTGGTGCTGGTGGCACACAGGAGGTCGGCAATGCCTTGTGTACGTAACTTCACAGTTTGAAAGACTGCTGAGGGGGTACAACTTTTTCTATTTTTTCTCTTTTTTTTTTTTTCTTTCTTTTTTTTTTTTTTGGTAGCTTCCACAATTTGTGAAGCTTTTTTTTTTTTTTTTTTGGTAGCTTCCACAATTTGTGAAGCGGCGGATCCGACGAGGATCTCATGAGCACCCGCAGCGATCTACAACCATGGCCGGTATCTTGCCGTAGATGATTTGTTCCTTGCCGTTGAAGTACAGCATATTGATGGGGGACATCTTGGTGGGCGTGCAGCAAGGGCCTGCCGAGCCCCTGGGGTTGGCTTGGTGCACGAGGTGGGTGTGGGGGTACTTTTGTAAAAACACAAATTCACATTCCCCGGAGCAATAGTTGGCTTTGTATCTTTTAGGAGCGATAATCCAATCCCATCCGAAAGCTTCGAAATCCACCGTCAGCGGGTAGCGGCAACATCGGGATTCTGTCGAGTGCTCGTCACAGTCGAGACCGAAATCTCTGCGGGACCGTTTTGGTGTGTCTGTAACTCTGACCTCTAAAAATGGGTTCTGTGAGAAGAGGAGAAGGAATTGGGATAATTTCAGAGGTAAGCCCAAGTTCACTAAAAACATGCAAACAGTATTTCAGATTCTGAAATTAAGTTTGCAAACAGAATTTGACCTACAGTTCTTTTATAGTTATTTTATAGTTCTTTTATAGCTCTGTATTTCCCTGCTGTTTCTCTACATAGAGCTTTAAGACCTGAGAATTTGTCTCTGAAATTACCATTGTCTCAGTGCTAGTATCTTTTAACTGCTATAAGAGCAGATTTTTATTTTGATGTGGAGTTTGTTTGTTTGTTTGCTTGCTTGCTTTAAACTCTGTAAGAGCTTTTTTTGAGTCCTTCCGAAATTCCCTTAATTAAAATCATATCGAATTCAGGCTTTCTGGATATCAAAGAAAGATCTTTGTCCAGACCAAGGAGGACAAAAGTTGCTCCTCTATGGCTGCCATGCTCGAATGACACTATGACTGAATGAATTTGGAGGGGCAGCTAAGTATTTTGACTCCTGGAAGAGTCCTGTGGCCAGGAATGTACTTTTGGCAGATCTCTGAGCCACATGCCTCCTACTGAAGGTGTGTTTCCACAGTCACCAACTGACACTAGAAGGAAATTGCAACCTTCACGATCATGAGTCTGAAAAAGTTCCCAGTTTCTCCCTTCCACACACTGATTTCTGCCCCATGTGTTGGTTTGGCACTGCTGGGTCCATCCCTTGGAGACCATTCTTCAGGAGTTACAGCCCAGCTGACTTTGTTACACAGGTTTCCCTCTCCCCAGATACTTGTGAGCTGTGGAGCTGCTGGAAGTGCCCTTTCCAAAGGTAAATTACATGGGGAGGTGTTTGATGGGAGGGGCACCCCTGTACCGGGAGGGGAGCTGCTGGAGAGGAGCTGGAGGGAAGAGAGATTTCCTCTCCTATTATCAGCTGTCCCTCTACCCCTTCTCTGCCGCTGAAATGTTTATTTATAGATGATGATAGCCATGTATGTATCATCATTTGAATGGATGGAGGTGGTAAGGACATGCCTGATCATGATATCCAGCTGGCCTGTTTCAAATACACGAGACCACATTTATATTGAATGTACAATCAAGATATCACAGAGTTTTCCTTTTAAGCACTTTTAAATTATATTATACTGCTGTGAAGTTAAATGTTGCATAAATATGGTTGGACACAATGTTTTATTTCCAACCTAAATATTTCTATGTTTCTGTGATCAACAGATTAATCTATTACATAGAAGTAAAAGCAGAATAATATTCTTCATTCAAAAGGAGGTATCACTTGGTTGTGATAAGTTCAGAAATTTGTATAGGTTGTAGATGATTTGTGATTAACAGAAACAAATAGCAAGGGATGTGCTGTAGTTTCGCTTTAGGTTTACTTCAGGTGTAATTGTAGGTGCACTTCAGATGTAATTTTTTCATCTATTTTTATAAAAGCAAACCACATAGTTATTTTGTGATCTTTCTTGTCATGTCTTGATTATTGTATCAAGCAGAATTTCTCTATTCAGATATTTCTAATAGATAGAATGATACACTCTACCAAATAACGAAAGGTGAAGATCTTAACATTATGAAGATCTGTTCTTACCTTCATAAAGAAACAATTTTTGTTACTGTTAATAGAAAATACACACATAGAGAGTATGTAGGAACTCCCTTGACTTCTCAATATTGGAAGCATCTTTCCTAGCCAGTGAAAGAATCTAAAGACTGTTTTTTAATATTAAGTGAAATAACTTCTTATTAAGAAGTTCTTATTATTATTGTTCTTCTTATTATTTGCTCTCAAAATTGAAAACAATGTTACTATTATAGTATCATCTCTCAGTAATTGCCAAAACCTTTTCTAGTTACTGCCTCGCAATGTCTCTCTGAAATACTGCAATTTCTCTGAGTTTTTTAAATAGGGAAATGGAGGCAGAGGAAAGCTATTGATTTCTGGCATAATCACAGAGCAAAGAATGAATGAATTGAATACCCAGAACTTTTATCTTCCATTCCCTAAACAATGCATCCATTTTATCCTTAAAACAGAACTTAAATGCTTTTCAATCAAATGGGATTTTCTAAATAGACTTACCAATCCATCTTCCCCCGGTCCTGGGAAAGTTACAGCAAGATTCCGTCCGTTCTCATCAAAAGCTTTTATTTCGATGCCTAAATTGGATTCAGGCTGTTTGAGCCAGTTTTGCAACACTGTCTTCACATCAATACTCTGCCAAATACCGGTGCCTGGGTTCATGTCAAGTTTCAAAGATCGAATTCCAGTGTATCTTGTACCATCTTTCATGGGTTTAATAAGTCTCAGGATCTGCACAAACACCGTTGTAGGTTTTTGGACTTGCCTCAAGTATATCCACAATTGTGCTTTTACTACTTTGTTATATTGTATTTTAGAGCTAAACTTAAAGAAGCAACATTTTGGTTTTCCCTCCATTTGTACAAGAAAATCAGCTATAAATGAATGGAAAGAACAGATTACTGAACAGGGAACAAGAAAAAATGCGTATATAAACCTGACTAATTTTTTTCAGACTGTATAGAAAATATTACATAATGTTATAAAGAGTACCAGTAACAAAGTGGATTTAATTTAATTCATTTTCTGTGGTTTACACTCTACTGCAATTTTAGTGGATGTCAACAAAATTATTATTCTATCACCTACTATCAATTCACTTTTGCCAGTCACCTCCTGAGGACCTTCATAAAGCATGCAGAATAGCAGCTTTGCATAAGCTGACTCAACACGTGTGTGGTGATCCAGCTATTTCTAATTTACTCCAAACCCTCAGCCTGCTGCAGACCATACAGCCCTGGGCAAACTGCACAAACACATTTATTTTCTCAGTGGGAAGAAAATAATTAAGGGGATTAATATAAGGATCATTTTGTTTTCATTTGAATAATATTAGAGGAAAGTCACGTGCAGCACTGCGTTCCTCCTTCCTGTAGCCTACCATGCAGCTGTCATACCTAGTCATGGCAATATCTTTCCATGCCAGGATAAAATGGGTAGTACTAATCCTAAATGGTGCAGGGCTTTAGCGTTCATAAATCTCATCACTTAAGATACCTGTCTCTTTAGTGCATTTAAAATAGCTCATGGGCTTTTTATAAGAGGTAGGAAATGAACACAGAGTAATGAAATACAGTGACTTTTTTTCAGTCACTGTAACTATGTAGCAGTTTGATTAAAAATGGTTATAAGCCCTTGAACATAAAAATCTGGAATAAAAGTGCAGGCAGACCTCAGCTTTGTGATAAGGCTGCAGTAAAATCATGTTATTAAGTGCCCATCTTAATAATTACTAAGTTGAAAAATTTCAGTGAAAAATTTACTTTTTCATCTCTGGGCTCATTTTTAGCTGGTGAGAGCAGCTGATATAATTCTCGTCTGCATATCATAACGATATCTGTAACTGCTAACATGCCTTATATGTCCTGTCATATTTTTCCTTTTTGACATCATATTCATAAGTGTTATTTTAAAAAACAGCTGCCATAGTCAAATACTTTAGCTGATGAAGAACATAAGATACTACAGTATTAACTGTGCAAAAGATACTTGATAGGAGCCATAGCAGATGTTTAGCACTCAAAAGATAACTCAGAATCTGCTCATTCAGTAAATGCCTTCATTCTTCCTTGGCACGGTTACGTGAGCTGATTGCTATAGCACGGACATTTTTGCATTTAATCTGTTACACACATATTTGCTTTAAATATATAGTTTTAACTCTGAGGTGGGTGGTGCTAGTTTATGGGATCAGCAAAGAGGCAAGAATTTAACTCTCTACTTGCACTTGCTGTAGCATGTTGCAGTTAGGTAGGTGTAGTGCTCTAAGCTGCATTTCTGTTGATTTCTATTGCTTCCAAAAATACTGGCCAGTGAAACCTCCCTCACAAAAATATAGTTCTCTCATTATCTGCACTTGTACTTTATATTTGCAAGAGGAAATGCCCCGAGTGCTGCAGATAACGAAGTTCACTAAACTGCAGATCTCCCTTTGCTTTCTAAGGCAATGGGTAAATCCTAAGTGCTAGGGGCACACACATTATAAGGAGCTGAAAACCAAACAGTAAAACAAAGGATCGCCACACGGTCATTTGAACCTGGCTCAAATTCTTTAGAAATAACGCTCTTCTCCCTCCCTCCAGCAGACTTCAGCCAGCAGCCTGTTGGGAGAGCCTGAGGAGGAGTTGTGTGGCTCTACAGCAGGGAGACAACTCTCTCGGAGGGGCAGTGGGAGGTGAAAGAAGCAGGGTTACTTACACTCTGTAGGCATTGTGATAATCGTTTCGGTGGTGGCATGATAGTCATCATCTTCCAAAGAGCCATCGCTACTGTCATCTCTCTGCACATCATACTGATCAATCAGTTCCTGCAGTGGAGGAGCCTTGGGTAAAAGTTGTTTAATAACATCCCTGCTAATGTTAGGAGCTTGTTCCAGACGCAGTTTGCTGAGGATTTGAATTTTTATGGCTTCTATTCTGGAAGATTTTGTATTCTGTCTCCACGTACAAGCATTGCACAGTCCGTCCTTTTCAGCGTTCTCTGTGGGCTGACTACTGTCATCAAGAGCCACCGGATCAACTGAAATCAGCATGAACAGGTAAATAGAAGCATAGAGCGCTAGCTTTTGCATGATCTCACATTCAGTGCAGCACTTTTCCCTTCTTTTTTTTCCCCCTCCCCCTTTCCCTTTCAGTACTAAACAGATCCGTGAAAGCAAATGCAATCTGAGAGACAGCTTGCCACACTGGTGTACCTTATATATTCCAAGGGGGCTTTTTATACTCCAACTTTGATTAGGCTCATGTCGTCAAACCCGACGATTGGTTGCTGTCCCAACAATGAATCTGGCTGTCAGAGGGTAAAGCCCTGTCGATCACAAGTCACTAGACAGCGTTTAGTTACAGCCAGGGGTGAACTGATTTATCTGGGTACTTTGCAGAGGATATGCCTTCACATTCTGAAAGGATATATTTCCCAAGTATTATGGGCAGCAGTACTGAAAGACAGCACTGTCATTCTTAAATATTATACTAACTGTGTACTTGTACTATGAATCAAGAGAAACCTTGCTCTAAACTTGCTTTAGGCTTCTACCAGTCTTTCTGACTTGAAAGTTTGTTCTATTTAAAATAAAATCCCAAGGGGTTACTTTTAGCAGGCAGGAAAATAATACTTTAGAAATGGATTGTTAAGAGTACTAATTTATGTTGTTCAACAACTAATATATATTCAGCAGTTTTTATTTCAGAAAAGAATAAGGGTTTTCCTAAATACTAGCTAATGTAGTATTGGAGGTTTTGTGAATATCTGACATTATGCAAATGCCTGTCTTATTTGTTTGCCCCTTTAGCATATATTAAAATACACAGAACAAATCCTTTACTGAATTAACAATCAGTAATGAAAAATGAGTCTCTCCTCTCTTCATGCTGTCACCAGAATCCTGGACAGTAAATTAAGTATCTTTAGTAGCAAAGGTATTTTTAAGGAATATCTTTAGCTACTCACTCTAATACTAAACAGGAATGCTTCAACTTGCTTTTTTCATTATTAGTGAAAGCATTAAAAGACTTAAAATATTTAAATCTCTACTGTGTCTCTGTAACCTTTCATGTTCTCCATGTAACCTTTTCTTTCACTTCAAAATGTCTCTGTATTATGCCAACCTAAGTGATATCTCTGTGCTTTTTTACTTTCCACTCAAATACTTAGAAATTCTCTTATGTCCTGCTTATATGTTAAAAATACAGATTTAATATGCTTTCTGCATAAGACATACATCTCTGTGTGATTGTATTGGTTATGGCTTATAAAATCTTACATTTGAACTTAAAATCAAATGTAGTTCACATTTGATATGCTGCTAGCAATAATTATGGAGCTCACACTTAATGAGAGGGGTGAGGGGGTTAACACAGGCTGCATGTCACAGCAAACAGAAACTCTGGAACTGGTATGTATTGTATATATTTGTATATTTGGAATCTATGTATTACAGCAATGGGAAATCCTGGAATTTCATGCAATATGCCAAAGTTTCCCGAATTTAGGACTGAATTTTCGGTTTCTCACAGAGTTTATTTTCTTTTCCCATTCTGATTACCCCTAAAAATATGTCAGACAAAGTGTTTTGCATGTGTTTCTGTAGGAAAAACGTTAGTATAAGTAAAGCTGTGGACAGAACTCTAAAAAAATTTTTTTTTCCTCCTGGTCATTCATATTCTTTTTGTATCACCTCTCCAGGGCATGCAAATTCACTGTTTACCACAGATCCGAGCCTAATATTCACCTAATAACCAGTGACATAAATCACAAGTATTCAATTGAAATTGATTGTCCTGCCCTGGTGTAAAGTTGATGCAAGTAATAGATGTATCATGCTCACACATTCCAGGCATATAGCTTTAGGGTCAGACCCTTATATTTTGATTTTAGCCAAAAGCCATGTTCAAAGCAAGCATTTTGCTGCCTCACCTCCTGAGCATTTGATTTTTGCACAGAGACCGATGCAGCTACTCTCAACATGTGGTAACACAAATGGGCCGTGCTTCACTGGTGCAAGAAGACAGGAGTTTGCAGTGCAGACTGCCTGCCATGACTATAACATCTTTAAAACAGACTCTTAGTGCATTTCAAGTGTTGGAAATGTATTTTTATAGAAGGTGCATAGGATGATTCACAGTAAGTGCTTTCTGAAAAGCACTGACCTGTTAGTGAATTTTGGGGGGATTTAAGTTGGGGGCTGCTTGCTATTTCTATAGTTAATGTCATGATAAAAGTATTTGTTATTATTTCTTTATTTTAAACTATATTTAATCATATGGCTATAGAAGGGAAAGTGGAAGTTTCCCCAAGTGGAAACTTCAACAGGTACCACATTTCACAGCAAAAACAGTTTAAGATAATGCTCCATCAATAATGCTGGAAATAACGATGCAGTCATTGATATGAAAGTAATTCAGTGTTCTGGCAGACCATGGCTAAAAGCCCAGGGAGAGGGGCAAGAGAGGTGCTCAGCAAAGCAGCGCCTCAGCACCGTGATCCTCTCAGGCCGTGCTCTGCAGCCACACTGGGACTTCTCCTGCTCCTTCTCCTGCAAGTCCTCCCTCTCTGGCTGGCCAGCATGAACACACAGAGCTTCAAGGCTCTTTTCCCAGTTTTCTGCAGAGAGTCCATTAATCTGCAAGCAGGAGTCCCTTTGCTCCCTTCTGTGCAGCATTTATTTATGGCTGCAGCACCAAGGCCTTCTCCTGTAAGCCCAAAACCCCGGGGAGCTCTGGGCAAGGGCTCAGCTTGCTCTCAGGTGACACGGGTGGCAAACAGACCCTGCTGAGCACCGCTGGTTAGGAGGCAGCAAGAGCAGCTGGAATGTGACACAGGGGCTGGGGGTGACAAAAGCACCCCAGAATTCACCAGCAGCTGCATAACAGAGAGCAGTGTTTTTCCATTTCCCTCATAAAATTCATTTCATATGTACTCTAAATACAGGCTGTTAGTAGAATACTTTTCATCTTTTATGGTTGCTGGCTTATTCTTTTTTCTCTGAAATTGCAAGAATTTAGGCAAAAGCACAAAGTTGCACTTGATCAGGAGCTATTGAAGGATCTAATCTATTTGATAATAATAATAGAATATGTGATTTATTTTTCTGTCTGACTGGAATTGTAGTGGTTTTGGGAAAATTATGATGACTACAAGTGATGAAAGGTGATGACTACAGAAGTAGGTGATAGAAGAGAAAAAAATAAGTGATGAGGAAAAAAGGTAAAAGTTTTTCTAAAATTTATTAGGCAAAAAAATAATTTAAAAAACCCCAACAACAACAAAACCCTACCACATTATCACTAGCAAAACTAAAGAAGAGTTAAAAATGAAATGCACATCTTACTGAACTTTATGGCATTTTAATATTATCTTTGGGATTTGTGTCATTCTACCCGTTGTGCCTGCCAATAGTGAATAGTATTCCCAATCCTGACTATGTGAAGATCATGGCTCCAGGCCCCCAAAATCAAGCACAGCAAGAATGTTCCTTTGTAAAGGAAAAAGGCATACATCTGTCTACCTGGCAACTTCTCCTCTACTTTCCTCCTTCCACCATCAGCTTTTGGAAAACCTTAAAAAAAAATTTAAAAAAAAAAATTTAAAAAGGGAAAATAATCCAAACCCACCCCCTACAAATTTGATAAAGAGGTTTCAAAGACATGCTGTAACTGCAAGTTCTATGGAAAAACAGTGACTGCACAGAGGAAAAGGAGATTACTAATGCCCTCCCTGAGGAGAAGGCGAGCAGAGCCCAAGCATTACCCATCCTTTTTGGCAGGCTCTCGTCAGGCAGGGAGCTCGTGCTCCCTCGGCAGCACTCAGCACGCCGCTCGCCCTGGAGCATCCGCAGCCTGTCACCCCTGCCCGGCCAGCAGCGCACAGGGACAGCAGGCTGAGAGCTCAGCTTGTTTTGGGGGAGGACCAAATGGACATGGAAGGCAACCAGAACATTTCTGAGAAAAGGGAGAGTTACAGGAGTATGAAGGAGCTGCTTTCCTGGCAGGGGAGGAAAGGGACATGGGTTATAACCCTGCCAGCAACTGGACGACTTCATCCTGCTGTAGGCTGCATTTTCAAACATTTCCTTACAGCCTGCAGGACCATAAATTCACTTTTTTTTATTCTGTTGTGTAAGTTAAATGAAATAGTTCTCATAATTGATTCACCTCAGAAGGTAGAACTGGAAGAAACAAAGCAGGTGTTGCAAAATGCACTGTAAATCCGTGATTGCTATTTGTGTTGATGTCAAGTCCTACCTCTGAACCAGTTGGCTTCTCTCCCTGGTTTGCTTATAAGGAAGAGATAACATTCTTCCTGAGCTGCTGAGGAAGGTACTAATTGAGTAAGCTTTTTTCTCACTTTTGTCAGTACAAAGCCTAAATTCAAGAATAGCAGAGTGAAATTGATAGAAAACTCCATTTTAAATCTTTTTGGACTAGACTCATCTCTCTCTTTGCTTCTGTAAGCTGGAAATAATGTTTGTGCTGTTATTTGGTTTGGAACAGTTGAATTTAAATAGACAAATTCAAATATATAAAATGTATTGGAGTGAGGGTGTTTCAAGTGCTTAACTATTAGTCCAGCTCACCAGGTGCTTTCTTTTAGCCACCTGAATCACAAGATGAATGATTACTTTGAATCACAAAGCAGATATAAGACCATGTCTATAAAACACCTAGAAAGAACTCTTGCAGTAACAAAACGCCTATGGAAGCATCATCCCAATTACATTATGTAAATGCATCTACTGTAAGGCAAACACAGCCACTTTTAAACTTATTACCATGAACTAAAATATGAAAGCTGTAACTTGTGTGAGTTCTTGCTCTGGAACAAATGGCCTGGAAGAGTTTATCCTTTGCTGTACTATTTTTTTTTCCCCCTATAAAAAGTAGTCATATATAACCTTCTAAGCATTCTGCTGTATCAGCTACTGGAAATCAGCTTCATAGATGTTGATGGTATGAATATTCAATTCTCTTAGCTTACCAAGAAAGAAATACACCTTGGTTTTACCAATTCTGAGTTCTAGATATCCTATTTCACACAGGAAGAGAGCAGGTGTGGCTCAGGGTGTGGATGCCTTGGTACACTGACATCTGGATGGGGTATCCCGCAACTCCTTCTCAGCCCCTGCTGGCAGGTGGTTTTTCCATGAAGACAGAGGCATTCAGCAATTTGGGATTTTGAGTGATTTCCCACGAGGAGTGTGTGGTTTGAGAACCAGGACAAAATGTCACTCTGTCTGGCAGATGATTTCCTGCACTCAGGAGCTGTAGGTATTGCACTGGTGAGTTCTGCCTGCTAAGGAGCGTCTCACAAGCCATGGCATGCAATTGTGCAATGGATAAAATGGGGAAACAGGTAAAACTGGTGGCAAAGGG